GCCCCCTAACCACTCTGCCTGCCTGCCCAATTGCCCCTAAGCACTCGCCTGCCTGCCTGATTGCCCTTAACCACTCACCTGCTTGCCTGATAGCTCCTAACCACTCTGCCTGCTTCTATTCTTGATAACCGCTAACCACATGCCTGCCGGCCTAATTGCCCCTAACTGCCCCCTCCTGCGCCGGCCTGGTCGCCCCATGCAGTCTGCTGTTCAGTTGTTTGGTCGCCCCTCACTAACCCCCCTGCCAGCCTGGTCACCCCATGCAGCCTGCTTGTTCAGCTCTTGGGTTGTCCCTCACTAACCCCCCTGCTGGCCTGGTCACCCCACGCAGCCTGCTTGTTCAGTTGTTTGGTCATCCCTCACTAACACCCCTGCCGGCCTGGTCATAGGCAGCCATCTTGTGAGGGTGTGAGGGTTAATTTGCATGTTACTTCTTTCTTACTTCTCCCCCTCCTCACTACCACCATCTTCCTTCAGACCTTAACAGGGTCAGGTAAACACTGAAACAGCAACTTAATTAAACATGAATTCTTGTCTTGCCCCCTTTACCCCCCCCCCCCCCCAAAGTAGAAGCAAACCTTATCTATATAATAAAGAAGTAATCTCCACACTGCAAAGGTGTAAAGAGAGCCTACCAGTTCCCCCTGCCTGCAGGAAAAGGCAAAACTCAACACCTTGGAAAGACATGAAAGACACTTCACAATCCCCAAAACTGTGGTTCTCTGGCCCCAGGGCTTCTTGTTGACATGTATCTACACTCGCCTAGGCCCTTTAAGAGACTCTTGTTGGTTCCTGCAAACGTCTTCTCTCTGGCCCACCATCCCCTTGAACGATGCAGAGTTTATGCCATGACTGCTTACACCAAGCATGTCAAACTTAAAGGCTAACATGGGCCAAACAAACAAAATTTAAGTTTATGTGGGCCACAAAAAACAAAAGTTTCAATTTTCATAGAAATGTAGGTTTATTTCGATAGAGACAGAGGGCTGAAATAAATGAGTATTAGTTAACATAAAATAATAGAACATTTTAAATATATTTTTTATTGAGTTTTTACAGAGAGGAAGGAAGAGGGATAGAGAGTCAGAAACATCGTTGAGAGAGAAACATCGATCAGCTGCCTCCTTGCATACT